ATATATATATATATATATATATATATATATATATATATATATATATATACATATATTTATATTTATATATGCATATATCACGCAGAGTGGGAAGGTCTTAGAGCCGCAGGCGCGAACAAGATCAACATGACATTTAGCGCCGCCATTCCGCGTATGGTAACTAAATTTACCTGGCGGTTCGCTCGTCAAGCACGACCGAAGGGAGCGACTTTTATTATAGTTGAGAAAGATACCGAACCGAGCGGTTGGTGTCATCCTCGTGAGTGGGTTTCAGGGGCGCGAGAACGATGTCGTTGGAAGTTAGCGTTGAGAAAAGTCGCCTCGAGGTTACACAAGAAAGGAATACGGTAATTCTGTTCTTTCTTTTCCTTTTTTTTTCGTTCTGGACCTTCCCAACCGAAGTAACATCACCGGTGTTAAGGATGAAGGATCGCACAGTGCGCATCTGTGACCAAGCAAATGCGACACGGATAGTTGTCTATCGCGCTGTCTAATTCAATTCTCCCGACCATGTTCGCGCTCGCGCTAATGAGTACTTGTTGTTCGAACAAGTGCGGGGAATTTGATTCTGCACGAAGAGAATTCTGCATTCCTCCTCCTACTCCTGCTTCTCCGACACGAGGATCCTCGCGAGAATCCTCACTGTCGCTTGGCGACTCGTCTCTTTCAGGAATCATTAAGGGCGACGAGATTATGGTAATCAACGGCGCCATCGTGAGCGACTTGGATATGATGTACTTGGAGAGCGTCCTGCAGGAGGAGGTGGGTCTTTGTATGATGATGCGATCCTCCAGGACGGAGCCTCCGGATCTCACGGGCATTATGCGAGTCACCGATGATATAATCGAGAGCTTGGTCTGCCCGCCGCCGCCCTCTGACCCGCCGGTCATTAGCGAGGAAATGATCTCCGGGCTGATTGTGCCGGCTCCCGGTTGGAGTAAGTAATTTCTCTTTCTTTATTTTTATGTTTTTCTCTTTCTTCTTTTCGTGCAACACGAGTGATGCGCCGAGACTGACCTCGCGGACCTCACTGTATGATCGCAGGCAAGGAGAACATTGTGCAAGAATGCACGTCGGGCGGTCTTATGGACAACAGCAAGCAGACCTCGCGCACAAACTCCTTCGAGATCGAGAACCTTCTGAAGACTGCCGAACAAGTGACGGGAATCTGTCGGTCGCCGGGTGAGACCCGGAAGTCGAGTCCCACCGGGAGCGTCGTCAGCTCCCATTCACAAGCCCTCACGCCGAGCCGGCAGCTTAGCGACGCTGAGAAGCTGAAGAAAGTGATTTTAGAACTGATTGAGACTGAACGGACTTACGTAAAGGTGAGCGTGGCGTCCGCCCCGATCGGTATCTTATGACGGGATCTTTTGTAACGCGCCTGTTCTGCTCTTGCTCGCGTTTCCAGAATTTAAATAATCTGCTGGAGAACTACTTGGAACCCCTTAAACGCGAGACCTTCCTGTCGAACGCGGAGATCAACGCGTTGTTTGGTAATATTCAGGAGATCGTCACGTTTCAACGACAGTTCCTGCAGAATCTCGATCACGCCATCGAGATGGAGGCCGATTTCAACAGCTTTGACCATCCGAGTCAATTTAAGGTGCGTGTCTCTCTCGATTGCGAAACTTTCATCCTTGATGTATTCCGTACAACTGAACAGGGATCAGATAAAAAGTCGGCGAAATTAGACAAATTTAAAACAATGATTATTAATATAGTCCTCCGAGTAGAAACTTCTTAAAGGAATCTTTCTGTTCCTACAACTTTTTACTTGATCCTTAATCTTAGCAGGTAACGGGAAATTCAGTTACACTAGCGGGATTATTTTTTCCGTGTAATTGTACTCTCTAAATTTCTTGGTCACTCTTGCAATAAGAGTGAAATATTCACTCCAATCGAGTGAAATGTTCACTTCTGTGGCAGTATTTACTCTTCATAGGAGTGAATGTTTCACTCGATCGAAGTGAATATTTCGCTCTTATTGCAAGAGTGGCAGTATTTTTACTCCAAGAAATTTAGAGAGTAAATAATTCCGCGCACTACTCCATAGAAGAAATGTATCGCAAGAAAGAATCATCATTCACGATCGAATTTCCTCGCGTTTCTCATGATGGAAAAAAAACGATATATATCGTTCTATGCGCACAATGTCGCAATATCCGGCAAGACATAATCGAAAAACGATAGTTTGAACGTTGTTGTCCCTTGTTGCAGGGAGTCCTGTTTTCCATTGGAAGTGCCTTCTTATATTACGTAAATCACTTCAAGCTGTACAGCTCGTTTTGCGCCAGTCACTCGAAGGCTCAAAAAGTTTTACATCCAAGTAAGTTTCGCCCCACTTAATAAGTTCGTTCTTTTTCACACGCGTGAGAGAGAAAGAGGTGACCTCCGTTTCCTCGTCAACGCGTCTGATCCTTCGACCGATCGATAATTCACTTCTCCGCCAGGAATAACCGCTCAACTTCGGCCGGTCGAAGTACCCCTCTGCAAATATGTTCCTGGAAAGTTCCCCGATTTATTATTCATGTCAACCTTTCGAGCTCGATCTGGTGACATTCTCGTGGCCGCGAAAATGGAGACGATGGCGTTAAACATTCAGCAGGATTATTTCGCCACTTTTTGTTCTCGCGCGTGTTCCCATTATTTCGCGGAAATCCCGTTTCGTTCTCTTCAGGACTCGGTTGCGTCGACTGAGTGCATAACTATAGCGTCATCGTCTGTCTCCACCAGCTGCTCCGTAATTCTCGTCTCTTTCTCCCTTTCACCGTCTCTCTCGGACTTTCGTAAAAGTCGCACGACTATTACGAACAACTCGACGGAGCGCGAGGCAATTTCCCCGATAACGATCGCGACTAATTGACAATTTCAGACGAGGGAAATCAAGCTTTACAAGAGTTCCTGCAAGCGAGAAATCCTCGGCAGCAACACTCGTCGACCTTAGAATCGTACTTGATAAAACCTATACAAAGAATACTCAAATATCCATTGCTGCTGCAGCAGCTTAGGAATCTCACCGACGAACGAAGCGAAGAACACCAACACTTAATTGGTAATTAACGTAATGATGACGTGCGCGTTCTCCGATAATGATAACCCAGATAGCACAGGAAATACAAAAAAAATTAAAAAATGATTCAGTCATATGTCACCAATTCTGAGTTCATTTTCAGATATAAAAAGAATTCTTCAAAGTTCAGTTCAGTGAAAAGAATTCTTTTTGCATCTAAAACTGAATTCAGAATTGGTGACATACGAATGAATTCCTTTTGAATTCTCTGTGCTATCTGAGAACCGATCCAAATCCGTCGTCAGCCACTTAATCGCGCGTTGCAATTGCAGAGGCGCTCAAGGGCATGGAGAAGGTAGCGGAACACATAAACGAGATGCAGAGAATCCACGAGGAGTACGGCGCTATTTTCGACCACCTGTTCAGGCAACATCAAAAGTCCTGCAAACAGGTGAGACCTTCGCGACGAAAAGTGTAGGAGCTATTTGCACATCGCGCGATTTAAGACCGATTTTTCCAGCCTCTTATGCCCGTTTCTACCAACTTTAGTTAACTTAACCGGCTGGTTATTCCAACGGAATTGACCAATCGCACTTCTTTTTGTCAGAACTAACAAGTGCTATTGGCCAATTCCGTTGGGATAACCAGTCGGTTAAGTTAACCAAAGTTGGTAGAAGCATTAGTGAGCTAACTAACAGTTGAATCATATGTCTTTGTTTTTCTTTCGTTGATTGATTGATTCGTCGTCAATTACGTGTTAATCAGTTAGTTTCATTCACGTGTTAATCTGCCGACAGCCGATCGACTTGAGCCCGGGCGATCTTTTGTACTACGGCGGTGTCGAGTGGCTCAACATCTCCGATTTCCTCGGCAAGATCAAGAAGGGTCTCGAGCTGCACGCGATGTGCTTCGTGTTTAAGTCGGCCGTCGTGTTCCTGTGCAAGGAGAGACTGAGGCAGAAGAAGAAACTCATGGTGAGCGTTCGCGCTGTAAACCGACGCGTGGTAAACCCGAGAGGATCGACGTTTCCCGACACACTCAAGAGTTCCCTCTTTTGCTTCTTGTGTTTCGCAGGGTGTCTCGACAAAGGCTAACTCCAGCGAGGTGGAGATCATCCGTTACCAGGTGCTGATCCCGGTGACGGAGGTCCAAGTGAGAGCCAGCTCGGCCAAAGACATGGAGTCCCACTTCTTGTGGGAACTGATACATCTGAGAAGTCAATTACAGAGGAGATCGGAGAAAGTATACGTGCTGTCCAACAGGTACTTCCCTCTCGACCAGATCTGATCACTCGACATCGAACGATCGATAGATGTCGAAATCAGGACGGTTAAATTCGCACGAAGGAGCGCATTTTCGCGAACATGATGGGAAATTCCTTGGAAATCGCGTTATCCCGCGTGAAATTCGCTTTTGAAAATATTCTTCGATTTATCTCGCACAACGAGAAGTACATCCCGCTTATAATCGGTATGCGGCGAAATAAATCGACCCCGATTCGCGACCATCGAACGGTGCATGCTTGATTACAATCGATTACGTGCCTAACATCGTTTTACCGCTTCGTCATCGAACGGGCACGAAAATTGACGAGTCTCGGAAACGAATTGCGAACAAATCCGATTACCCGTTGTTTAAGTCCCGCGATCGCACTTTAATCGAATTTCGCTCGCCTCCTCGACGCTCCGCCGTGTCTTTCGCATTCTTCGCGAAACAACTCGAAATATCAACTCATGCTTTTCCTCGTGCGCGAATTTTCATCGCCAATCATAAATAACTCTTGAGCGCACTTTTTGGGCCAAGGCTATGTGTGTGTGTGTATGTGTGTTCGTTCGCTCGTTTTTCAGTAAACTTTAACTAACACGTTGACTATCACAGAAATCATTAGCGACCGGCGCTTTAATATCGCCGCGTTCCATCAATTTATATATAAAGCGCAACTGCATAATGTAACCAATTAATTACATGTACCCATATTAATTATATGTACCTAGGAAGCCAATGGAACGAGCTAACGAACATACGCGTCGCAAATGACGAATTATTTATCCGTAACTTCCATCGACAACTCAAACTTTGCTCGTTTCAAACGAGCGTTTCGATAATTAATAATTAATAAGAACCAATGAATATTTCATAAATAATCGATGGAAATTAGCATGGCGGTGTGTTAATAATGAAGGCGATTATTCCCCGGTCGCGCGTTGCTGGTCTAAATCGTGGACTTCTCTGCCTGCAGCACGACGGAGTTTCGCAACGCGTTCCTCAAGACGATCCGGCAGATCATCCGGGAGTCGGTAAGAAACATGAGCATACCTTCGACGAAGCAGAACCTGAGCCAGGCGCCGATGTCGATGGCGCCGCGCATGTCGACCGGGCACGTGGAGAAGTTCGACAAGCAGGTCGGCCAGGGTCAGAACGGGAACGGCGTGGCGATGCCGACCGGCACTCTTTCGAAGAAGGCGGTGAAGCAGCAGCTGCTGTCCAGCTCGCACAAGCGGAAGTACAGCCAGTCCAAGCAGCCGGTGGAGCACGAGAGCTCGGAGGACAAGGACCAGGAGGAGCCGCCGGTCGTCCAGCAGCAAACGTTTCGCTCCAGGAGCAAAACCATCAGCGACACTTCCGGTAAGAGGCCAAGCCGCTGAGATCGCGATCCAAAAGGGAATGTCTTCCTTGTGTGTGTGTAAATAGAGAGTTCCTTAAATTCTGCGATAAACCAAGTCTTTTGTCGGTCCATATCTTTCCCTACTTGGAATTCCACCCGGGAAATGAATCACGGCTCGCTCGAACTCGTTGTCGAAAAACGATACGAATCAGCAGAGCGCGATAGTCATCGTAACAGATAGATCGTTGAAAACGGTGTTGTTATCTTGTCGGGTTTAGGCGAGGTAAAAGTCGAAATGGATTCGGGGACGAAGTCGGAAGGTGAGGAAGACTCGCAGGCTTTTTTAGGCGAGAAGAAGACGAATCTCGGCCGCACACCTAATCATCTGACGCTGAGCACCACGTCTACTATCTCGGCGGGGAGCACTGGCAGCCAGGCTAGATTGATCCAGTCCTCTCATCAGCCCGAGAACTATCAGCCCATTACCGTCAAGGAACTCGGTGAGTGTGTTAGGTTATCGCGATACTTTTATCTGACGAGCAATAAGTGGACTATCAAGTTACTTTCATATTAAGGCTGTTCTCTAATCTAACTCTCCATCTATATATGTATACAGGATGTCCGGTAACTGATCGAGCAACCGCTGTGTACGGGTAGAACGGGTCAAAATAATCGTAAAAGTTATATACCAGTTTGAAATTTTCTCAATATTTATTTCGTAATTAATTAAAATGTATAAACGAATGAGCTCACGAGAAACGATAGGACAGGCTCTGTGTGTAAAAGAAATAGCTTACCTCTTAGTAACGATAAGTAAACTGATTTCGAGGCGGAGTAACAAGCGACATGTGTACGTTACTCCGCCTCGAAATCAGTTTACTTATCGTTACTAAGAGGTAAGCTATTTCTTTTATACACAGAGCCTGTCCTATCGTTTCTCGTGAGCTCATTCGTTTATACATTTTAATTAATTACGAAATAAATATTGAGAAAATTTCAAAGTGGTATATAACTTTTACGATTATTTTGACCCGTTCTACCCGTACACAGCGGTTGCTCGATCAGTTATCGGACACCCTATATATCTCACTCCCTTTCTCTATCTGTCATTTATTAATCAACAGCCAGCTTTTATTACTATTGCGTTATCGTTGCTCTTGCTGTCGCACGCAGTTAACGATAATCTGATAATAATAAAAGTCGCAAAACATTGCGACGTTCGATAAAATTATCGCTACGAGCCTCGCGCGACTTTTGATCTATCTTACCTTCCGACTTCGTCTTTACTCTCAGCACTTAGACTGTGTTCAATGTCGCTGACGATAGATCCTACGAGTGATTCATTGTCAAACTTATGAATATGTATCTTTACAACGGCATTTCTGTCTTCCCCCCCCCCC